CACATTTATGCATTCTAAGTGACATCTTGCTCTTGAGGGGGTGAGAGGAACTCTTGTTTGTTCCTCCAGCCCTGAGAAGTCTCTTCAGGTGCATCACTAATCCTCACACACACCTTCACCTAACGCCGGGAAAGAAAGAGCTTGGCGTGTTTAATGTGGCTGAAAAGCACAGGCAGAAGGGAATATCTTGCTATGAATATCTGGGTGGAGAGGAAAAGCCACACCAGGGAGGGAGAGGAGCCATTTGAGTGAGGGGACAATGGTGGCACAAGAGCAAATGGGGGCAGGTTGGCCCTGAACCCATTTCCATCTTAATTTGGTCTATTGCACAGCCCAGGTAGAAACTGGTTTCCCCACTATTCAGATAAATTTTAAAAATACCAGAGTAGCTTGGCTTCTCCTCACAGGTGGCAGGATTGGTGCTGGGACTGTGCCAGAGTGAGTCCCAGAGAAGGGAGCTGCTTTTCCCAGGAGAGGCCAAGCATCGCCTGGCCAGCATCGCCCATGCTAAAACTTACACCTCCTTTAAAGGACAGCTTGGAAGGGGGCTGGAGAGAGAAAAATCCAAATTATTCATGGTTTTGCAGTGCTACAAGGTCCTCTGGGGGGTTGGCATTACCCTGGGCATTGGTTACATATTTATGAGAGAGAAACTGTCACGGAGACCGATCAGTTCGTGTTCTGATGCAAAAGTCAAGTCTGAAAGCAGTCAAATTTGAAAAAGAGGGCTTTTTCCTCTTTCTACAAAGAAATGGAAAGGGGAATTATAGCTACTTTCTGGATGGAGCAAACCCCTGTTTCTTCCCCTTCCTTGCTTGGGCCAACTCCCACTTTCAGCCAGGGGTGCGTGTCTGTGAAGGATGGCTCTTTTCTGGGAAGGGTGTCACTCAAAATACCTTGGGGACAGCCTGGGGTGGCCCCTGGGAAGCCAAGGCCAGCGAGAGCTGTCCCTCTTTTTGTCTGGGAGCAATCCTCCAACATCCCTGGGCTGTCTGGGAGGGTCCTGGAAGGTGCTAAGGCACCCCAGAATGTCCCAGAGGGGTCTGGGGAGGGGCTACCATGGGGGTCCCTGGGGTTTCGGAGATCCTGAGAGGTCCAAGGAGGGTCCTGGAATTTCCTGGGGAGTCCTAGAGAGGGTCCCATGGGGACCTTCCAGGATCCACCCCCAGGAACCCCCATGGAACCCACCCAGAGCCTGCCCCTGGACCCCCGGGACCGCCTGGGAGTGCCCAGGAAGGAGGGGACATGCCCTGGAGGGGGGATTTGGGATGGAGGGAGGGGACTTTGAGATGGAGAGGGGTATTATTATTATTATTATTATTATTATTATTATTATAGTAGTTTTTGTTTTATTATACTATAATGTATAATGTTCTCTTTATTATATTATAACTAATACAATAACATTATTACCATATATTGTAATTTTTATTATAGTATTATATTTTTATTCGTTTCATTAATTATACTATATAATATTAAATAATAATAATAATAATAATAATAATAATAATAATAATAATAAACAACTGCCAGCAACTGATGCCTTGAGGGGCTACATGGAACAGCAGCTAGACAGAGTTAAAGAATAAGCTGGGGATTTATTAAAAGTCCCCAAAGGATACACCTTGGGTAGCACAAAAGCCTGGCCACGGCCACACTCAAGATGTAGAACATGTCACAAATTTTCAGACTTCTATAAAGGCTTTGGTCCATTTCCATACTGGGGTTCATTGTCCAGTTCCAGCTCCAGGTGATGCAGTCCCACCCTCCCAGTTTGCTCCCCTCCATTCTCTGCTGTTTGCACTTTTTGGGCCTGAGGCTGCGGCGGTGTCCTCAGCTCTGGGGCTGGAAAAGGATTGTTCTGTCCAGCTAAACTGTGAAGAGACCTTTCTGATGCTTTGTATGAAGTGCAGAGTCACACACTACAGCAGCACAGTGCTGGGGAGAACACTTCATGTGAGGGGACACGAGGAGGCTTGACTCCATTTCAGAGGGCTGATTTATCATCTTACGATATATTAAAATACTACATAAAAACTATACTAAAAGAACAGAGAGAGAAGAATGATCAGAAGGCTTGAAAGAACAAGAATAGAATAGAATGCATAACAAAATCTTGTGACTGCCCACAGCCTCAGGCGGCTGTGATTGATCATCGATTGGAAACAATCCATTCACCTCCCTACCCTGTTCCTTCTCCCTCGGGAATCACCCCGGGATGGGCTCCAAGAGATGCCAAGCATCACCCGGGGAGCAGCCACTACCCCGTGCAGCTGTAACCTTCCCGACCTGTTGTAACTCCTGTGCAGGTGCCGCTACAACTCCGATACACCTCCCTGCAGCCACGGCCGGGCTCTGCTGCTGCCCAAGGTGTATCCTTTATCCTCTGAGGGCTTTTAATAAACCCCTGCTTTATTCTTTAACTCTGTCTAGCTGCTCTTCCATGTAGCCTCTCAAGGCATCAGTTGCTGGTATATTTGTTATTATTATTATTATTATTCTATATAAATAAATAATAATATTATATTGATATTCATATTCATTATAGTACTAGTAATATATTATTAATAGATCAATACTATATTAATAATGTGTTAAAATATTAATATTATGTTAATATTTACATCAATAGTAAATTTTAATTATTAATTAATAGTAGTATTGATATTGATATTGTTAAATATAGTAATAGTAATAATAATTAGTCGCTGGGCTTTATTATTACTGTTATCGATATCACTATTATTATGGTTGTTATTGTTATTATTATTACTATTTTATGACATAGTATAAACATTATTATAAATATTATTGTAATACATATAATAATAATATATAATAATATAATAATGTTATTATATTATAATATATAATAATTATAATAATTATAATAATCATAATAATTACTATATTTATATTAGTATTAATTACAGTTATATCAATATATTATGTGTATATTAATTGTATATTAATAACGTGTTATATTATTAAGATTATGTTAATATTTACATCAATAGCCAATCTTAATTATTAAGTAATATTAATATTGATATTGATATTATTAAATATAGTAATAGTAATAATATTTAGTCGTAGGTTTTTATTATTATTATTACTATTCTTTATTTAATGATAATGATAATGATAATGATAATGATAATGATAATGATGGTGATGATAATAATCCCAGCTTCCTGCCCACAGGGTCCCCAGCCATGTCCCCATCCCTCCAAACCCTTCTGGAACCCCCAACCCCCACAGTGACACCCCGGACTCTTCCAGGACTGCTCCCCTCTGCGACCCCCACCCAGTCTGGGGCCACGCCCGCACCCCAAAGATCGGGGGGCCCAGGGGACCCCCCAGTCCCTGCACCCTGCCGGGGTGGGGATGTCCCCGCCGAGCCCCGCTTGTCCCTTCCCTCGCTGTCCTCGTCCTCCGTGCGACACCAGAGCCGAGGGGACACAGGATGGGGACTCGGGGGGGGTGGCGCTGCCGTGGGGACACGGGGGAGGGGACAGGAAGCCAAAGCATCTCTGCCCGCTGGGGCTGGCCGGTGTGGCGAGAGCTGGCAGCGGCACCGGAGCTTCCTGCCCCCTCCACAGCCCGACAGCGACCGGGGGGAGTCACCCGGGGAGGGGACCCAGGGCTGGGGACAGTGAGGGATTGTTTTCCCCGCTCTGGTTTCCTCTCCAGACGGAGGAAAATCGGCATACGGGGCTGCTGCCCAAGGGGGAAAGGACAAGGAGCTAGTAAGGGAGGGGAAAAAAACACTCAGCCCCCCTAAAATGGGAAAAATAAGAGATCAGAGTGCTCGTCCTGATCTCGGAGAGGTGAGAGGCAATAAATTGCCGCTGAAAGAGCCATAAAAACGTCGGGAATTGATCCATGAGGTGGATCAAATGAAATGGAGGGGATAACCCTCCAAATGTGGGGACCTCTCCAAAAGGTGGGGAGACCCTCTGGAAAAAGGTGGGAATCCCCCAAAAAAGGTTGCGGACACCTCAAACTGGGGACCCCCACGCCAAAAGCAGCAGTGTTGTCCCACATAACATCCCTCGGGACTGGGCTCCAGGGAGGGCAGCAGATGGGAAAATCCTCGGACTTGGCCCCCCAGAGGGGTCTGGAAAAGAACATTTAATTAATTTTCGGTCGGGTTCTGGAATTTTTTAAGGATTTGGGGGCGGGGGGGTTGGTATCTTCCAGTGAGAGTTTTTGGGTGTGCCAAGGTGAGGATGGAGTCAGAGCTCGGGGGAATGGTGACAGTCTGGGGTTAAATTAATTAAAATGTAAGGGATTTTAAGGAATCCACAAAATGGATCAACTGATACATTTCCAGATGTGTCGGAACACGGACACTTCGTTTTGCAGAGCTCACGGCCCGCCTTTCCCAGCCCTGTGCGAGGAGTGGCACCACCTCCGAGAGGAGAGCCCTGGGGCCTCGCTTCTCCTCCCCGCTAATTAGGAGGCGTTTATTAAGCTAATTAATCACTGTTTGGTTGTCCTTGAGCTGCCTTGGTCCTCTGCACGGGCCAGCACGGGCTCAGAGGCTGCGGGTGCCGAAGGAGGGATAACGCCTCCTAAAATTGGGAATATCCGAGGATTGCTCCCAGACAAAAGCTGCCAGGACCGGCGGCTGTGGCTGGCCTTGGACACGGGGGACACGAGAGGGACACGGGGACATGGGCAGGGACACTGCGGACCATCACTCTCAAGTTCCCCCCCTCCGGCTGAATCTCGGATCATCCCGGCGCCAAAACACCCCTTAAAAATAAAATGCCACGTTTCTCCTTCCCTCTCCCCAATGTTCGCCCCAAAAGTGCAATTCCCCAAGTTATTTTTAGGTTTTATTCTGTTTTTTAGGTCGATTTCTCTCCTACATCGCCCGCCTCGGGAGACTTTCACCGGCTGCGGCTCTGCCCATCCCCGGGGGATGCTGGATCCGCGGGAATTGGGATTTTTTTCCTGCATTAACGCTGTTTTTAGGGTGCAATGGAAGCTCAGATCAGGACAGACTCTTTCTGGCAGATCCACTGCAGCCTCGTGTCGCAGCTCTGAGGTCTGATCCCATTCCCCTTGAGCGTTCCACAGGCTCCAGGTCGCTTCTCGAGGTCCAGCTGGAAGCTGCGGGTGGCAGGAAAGAGCCCGTGTCACCCCCGGGGGTCCCTGGGGGACACTGGGGTGCCCTCCCAGCGCTCCCCCCGGCGCTCACCGGTCCTGGTCGAGCTCGGAGCCGTTCTCCCACGTCCAGCCCGTCCCGGCCGCAGGCACCGAGAGGCCGATCCAGAAGTGCCGTGTGGGATTCCGCAGGCTTTCATTCAGGAATTCCTGGCCCGGGAAAGGAGAAGTGATGGCGCTGTTTTGGTCACACCAAAACTGGCTCTGTCCTGGATGAGGACAGAGCCACTTTTGGGGTGACCAAAACAGCGCCATCACTTCTTTCCCGGGCCGGAGCTTCCCACCCGTGTCCCCCACACTCAGCCACAGGCACCCGGGGGGGCTTGGACACAGCGGGGGGGCTGAGTCCAGGATTTTGGGAAGCCCCTCACCCTTCCATGGGTGCCTCCAGCCCCTTCGGCAGCACCAGCCCCCCGGGTGCAGCCATATCCCACATCCCCAGCTCCATCACTCCCTTCACCAGCTCATCCTGGTCCCAGGGCACCAGCAGCGCGGAGCCCCGATCCCTGCAGTCCTCCCGGCTCCTGTTCCAAGGGTTCATCCCGTCGGAAATCCAGTAGCACTTGGCCCCGAGCAGCCTCCAGCCCACGGCGCACAGCCGGCACCCCTCGCTCTCTGCGGGCACACGGGCGGGTCCCGGGCGCTGAGCAGGGACCGGAGGGCATCTCCTGCCTCTCTTTATCGGGGGGAAGCTCAAAGGAGCCCCCGGGGGGTGAGTTACCTCGGGGCGGGCACAGGACCCTCCGCATCTCCCTGAGGATGCCATCCCAGCTCGAACGGGCAGCTCCCGGCGAGGCGCTCTCGTAACCTGCGGTCCCCTGGGACTGCCACTGCTGTGCCACACACCAGGACACTGCGAGAGGGGGATCAGGGAAATGGGGGTGGGGTCGGAAGGGGTGCCCGGAGCCCCCGCCGCCCCTCAAACTCACGGCAGAGCACGAGGGACAGCGCCAGGGCGGCCGTCAGGGCCACGAGGAGGCGGCGGGGACAGCGGGAGGATCCTGCGGGGACCCTCTGGATTCTGGAAAGCTAGATCCTGCTGCTGGGGAAAGGATATGGAAAAAAAGAGCGGGTTCGCGAGCACCTGTCGCCTCCCCGAACCCCGAGAGCCCAAGGCAGGAAGTCCTGGGGCAAAGCAACTCAGTGAGACCCTCCTGTAGAGGAGCACGAAGAGTTGGGTGACCCCAAAAACCCCCTCTGCTCCATCTTTTGGGGTCACAGCTCGGGGGGATGGGACAGCAGACAACCACAGCATCAAGAAAAGGCCCCCAGACCCTCCTCCCTCGAGCTGTGCCTCAGTTTCCCCACCCTGGGCAGCTCTTGGCGACTCCTGGGTGCCTTCAGCCCGCACCCGCTCCCCTCCAGTTCCTCTCCCCCAAAGATCGGGGGGCCCAGCGGACACGACCCCCCAGTACCTGCACCCTCCCGAGGTGGGGACCTCCCCGCCGAGCCCCGCTTGTCCCCTCGCTCTAAGATCACGTAGCCGTCCTCGTCCTCCATGCGACGGCAGAGCCGAGGGGACACAGGATGGGGACTCGGGGGTGGTGGCGCTGCCTTGGGGACACGGGGAAGGGGACAGGAAGCCAAAGCATCTCTGCCCGCTGGGGCTGGCCGGTGTGGCGAGAGCTGGCAGCGGCACCGGAGCTTCCTGCCCCCTCCACAGCCCGACAGCGACCGGGGGGAGTCACCCCGGGGAGGGGACCCAGGGCTGGGGACAGTGGGGGATTGCCTCCAGACAAAGGAAAATCGGCATACGGGGGAAAGGACAAGGAGCTACTGCTAGAGAAAAGACCCCCTCAGCCCCCTAAAATGGAAAAAATAAAAGATCAAAATATTCGTCCTGATCTCTAAGCGATCGGACCCCATCCCGCGGGGCACTCGGAAGTCGCTGCCGCCGGACTCAGCTGATCCCTGGGGATGGCAAAGGCCGCCAGGCACCGAGCGATGCCTGTGGACCCGGCAGCTGCAGCTCTGCCAGTGACAGGGGCGTACCTTTGTGGCATTTTACACCATTCTCTGTGTTTTACTTGTCACACCTCCCAGCCTTTCCCGTGCCGCTCTTTCAGCGCCACGACGGTCTCGGTGCAGCTCTTCCAGTGACACGGAGACCCTCCCGGGGCGCGGCGCTTCTACCGCACTTCATTCTGCTCTGTTTCATTTCGTTCCCACCCGGTGCGTTCCTCACTCGGGGCCGTGGGCCGGCTCCCCCAGCTCCCCGGGACCTCCCCGCTGCCCTCCGGAGGTCGGACACCGCTGCCGGCCTAAGCTCCGTCTTCCCAATGGGATTCGCCCCCCCCGGAGCTTCTCCCGCTCCTTCCCGGCACTAAATGGAGCTTCCCCCCACCCTCCGACGGGCAGCAGCCCCAGGAGTGAGCAGTGAGGAGGGGGAAGTGCCCCCAGTCCCTCCCCAGTGCCCCCAAAAAGGGGGGTTACGAGGAGAAAAGGGATTTAAATTGAGGGGAACGATGCCTTTTCCGTAATTGTCTGGGTTTGAACTTCAAAGGATCCCACTTCACCTACTATTTGCAGGAAGGAAAACACACCTTCTTCATGATTTTGAATGTGTCACTTGACTGGGAATCAGTTTTCCATTATTTCCATGTTTAAATGGAAAGAGAAAACATTTATCATGCTGTTCCATGGGTTTGAATTGAGGAAAAGAGCCCCATTTTCATCATCTCAAGGTTCAAACTGAGGGCAAACACTGCTGTCCTGATCTTAAAGGGCTTCCATTGAGAGGAACCTCTTGATGTGCCACTGTAAGGTCCTACTGTAATATGCAGATCACTTCCAGAATGACACATGAAGTGCCCCCTTCTTCCACTCCCCCGTTATTTTCAGCAAAAAAGCCTTCCCAGGACCCTGAGCTGCATCACCACCCCTTACTGTGGTGTCTTTAGAAAACAATTAAACTCAGCAATCAGAACGTTCATGCATTCATAAAAACACTGTATGGTCAGTGGGCCAAGGGCTTTAGAGATGGATTTCCTAAGCCCTTTCATGTTTCTTTCTGGGGGTAGCAGTTCTCCCGTCAACCTCCAGCCTGGCCCTTTAAGCCTCCAGGCTGCAAATCCCAGTCTCCAGCTAAAAGGATGGAAAAGCTGCTTCCCCCCTTCCCCCTTCAGGGCCTTTTCTTTTGAAAGGAACTGTCTTCTGTCCTGTGATGGGAAGAGAAAGATCTCCAAAAGAGAGAGCAGCTCTCTGAGCATCCCCCTCCCGTATCAGGACAAAGTGGCAATTCCTGCACCCCTCAATGCTTCTGGCTGCTCTTTTTCCTCCAGCTTTCCTCCCCTCCCGCCGGCCTTTGGCGAACCTCAGCTGATTTCCAAACCCTCCGTGGCTGCTGGGGGTTGGCACAAAGGTTTAATTATTTGCCTTCTCTCGGCTAAGGCGGGGACAGGGAGAAGGTCGGGCCCCTCTCTCCCACCCCGCTCCCTTCCCGGCTCCCGGAGCCCACCATGGATCCACAGGCGGTCTGGGGATGCTTTTGCCTGCTTTGCTTTTCCCTCCTGAGAGCAGCAAAAGGTAAGAGAGGCTTTGGGCTGGTTCAGGTCCAGGGACTCGACAGGGTCTGGATGCCCAGAGAGGTGAGATGCTCATCCCAGCACTTCTCCTCCCAGTCTGCAGCCAAGCAGGGAACAGGGACTGGCAATCTGTCAGGGCATTTGGGGAGGGTCGGCTCATCACCAGGGGGGGCGACAGGACAACACCTGAGCTCCAGTCAAGGTGTAGGGAAGTGATCTCCACCAGTGGAGGGCAGAGAAGAACTTGAATGACAAAACTTTGGGAGGGGCTGAGGGTATAAAATGCAGAGCATCCATTTTGTAAACGAGCATGTAGCTGTAGTCACAGACACCCCCATCACTGTAATTTTTCCTTATTAATTTTTAGGGGTTTTTTTTATTAAGTCTGTTGTTGTATTTTTTGTTAATGTTTAATAAACCTTTACAATTTTAAAAGTAAAGATCGTTTCTCACATGTTCCAAGGTGTCATAGATAGATTATGAGATGATTGGCTCTTGCAATTAAGGGATGACTATTGTGTGAATATTAAGAGAAGTTTTAGTAATGTATAGTTATGTTATCACAGTTTAGATGTCCTCAGGTAGTGGTGGCTGGTGCCGGTGGGGGCTGCTCTCGGGACAAGCCGAGTGCATGGGTTCCCCAGGAGAGGCTGCAGGAGAGGGCAAGCAGGGTTTCATAGGGCCGCCGCAGTGGTTCGCCTGACCCACGGGCACGGACGAGGCCAGGAGCAGAGTTTGCGTAAACCAGCGTTTGCAGCCGCGCCGGATGCGGCGAGTTTCTGGTACGCGCTGACCCGGTGAGGATGGGCGAGGACCAGCGGAGGCGCAGTGCCAAGATTGGCGCAGTACACGGCGTTGCTGACGGTCAGAGACCAGCTGAGGTGCACAGGCTGGTCGGGGTGCGGGGTCCACCACGGCCCGCCTGTGGAGCCGTGAGATCAGGGCGCCACGTGGGTGATGGTGCCCAGGGAGGGCCACATGGGTGATGGCGCCCAGAGGTGGCAGAGAGCCACGTGGGTGATGACACCCAGAGGTGGCAGAGAGCCACGTGGGTGATGGCACCCAGAGGTGGCAGAGAGCCACGTGGGTGATGGCGCCCAGAGGTGGCGGAGGGCCGTGGGCAGCGGGAGGGCTGCTGGCAGCGACTTTTGCCAAATGTGCGGGGTTTCCAGGCCAGGGACCGTGTGGGCCCGCATGGGTGGTAGCAAGCCAGGAGTGTCCAGCACGGTGGCTTTCAGCTGTTCCGACCCAGCCGGCGGTGACCGCGGCCATCAGACACACTGGAGCCCAGGGATGCCAGTGGCGATGGGCTGCGCATGTAGACCAAGGCATACACGTGTTGTGTGCATCATTACGTGCATGTGTGTTAAATTACCCCCCTGTCAGGTATGACTAAGTTGGTGTACAGCCCTCTGTGTGTGCACAGGCTCTGCAACTGTGAGCATAGCCCTGTATAAGAGACGTGTTAATGACATTACACATCTTAGTGTGCACAGATTTATACACTTGTGATAATGTACACAGCCTCTACATAGAAGGAAGTCTCATGTTTGTGAGCACGTGTGCACTGGTAGAGACTGTATGTAAGTGAGTGTCTCTGTGGCACACGTGTGCTAGCGTGTGCAAGTAGAGCGTGCACAGCTCCGTGGGTGTGTGCAGGTGTGTGCTGCTAACAAGTACCTCTGTATGCCAAGGTTCTATAGCAGTAAACAAATACCTGTGTGTGTGTACTAGTCCTGCACTCACCCCTACATGCAGACATGGGCTGAGCACGCCCAGAAACACGGCTCTGGAGGTACAGCTCTGTGCATCTAGCTGCTGTCTCGCCTAAGAGTGTTTGTGTGCATCAGTGTGTATCTATCACTACTGAGCTCCACTGACCAGAGGAGCCCCCAGCTCCCTGTGTACAATACCTAAAGTTCAGCTTCGTTTATAACAGATACAAAGCAACACATTCCAGCTGCGTTTATTTATATTCTTACCTCATGCCTTAATTTTGCTGTAGACTTGTTAAAATGTAAAAATGTGTGAACTCATTCTCATATATAGACAGGCTAACACTACTCCCGTTACTGTACTTTGTGAAAGACACGTGAAAGCCTCACAACTAGTCTAAGTACTTTATATAACTGTTTAAGTAACATTTTGAACAGAGAATTTAAATTGTATATAATTAATACTATTGTCCTGTGAAAATTACAACTACCTGTTATGGGGAGGAACAGTGAAAAACATTAAAATTGTTCAATTAAACCTGAAATATAGTGAGAACAAGAGGGCAAGACCAGGCTGGCCCCTGTACTCGCCAGAGAGAAGATTGTAACAACCCTGCTGTAGGCAGCAACTCTGTAGGCATGGGAGGTCGGAGTAAAAGCCATACTGGACCCTCTGTTCACAACCTACACCAATCATTTGACTTCAAACCCTTTTCCACTGTCCTCGCCCACATCAACAGAAGCTATTAAAACTTAGTTAATTACTCGAGGGAAATAACTTACAAAAAAGAAAAGGGGGGCTTGTTATAGATGGATAATGAGATCATCAGCTCTTACAATTAAGGGATGAATATCACAAAAAGGTTTAGTGATGTATGTTGTAGTATGTATGCAGTTATTGATATTATTGTAGTTGGTATTACCTCTGTTCTCCCCATAGTTCCCTTTTCTACCTCTCCACCCTGTATTATTGCCATCAGACAGCAGGGCTTGTCTAGGACAGGTAGAAGAAGGTGTGCCCATGTGCACCTTGCATGGGCCACTAACTTGACCTCCAATCCAGTTACAAGAACGCAGTCTCCACCCATAAATGGCAAGGAAGAGCTGACTGACAGACTTTGGGAGAGACCAGAGCTGGCTGATGCAATCCCCCAGGGGTATAAAAGCCTGAGCACCCATCCTGAAGAAGAACTGGCTACGTGGTATCTACAAATGCAGTTCCCAGCACTGTGAATTTTTCCTTATTTAGTCCTTTTGTTGT